ATCAGCAGCCATATCCGGTCTGGGAAGAGGACCGCTCTTTGGGCCCTGAATGACTGTGTCCTGACCAGCAGGGAATGGAGGCTCAATGGCAGAAACAGCACATTGTCACGTCTCATGCTGCCCCCAGGAGACCAGGTGGGCTGCCTGGCCCTGCGCCGAGTGGGATGTATGTGGTCGTGGCTGGCACGTGCCTGGGCCTTCTGGACTGGATGATAGGGCAGGTGTAGTGGATGTCCCAAGTAGATAGGGACATGTCTCAAAATAGGTTCAATGATGGCAAGGTAGATCCTTCAGGGCGGTTTGTGGCAGGTGAGATCATGTGCTGTGTGGGGTTGGGTGAGGGCCATCCACAGAGCAATGGTCGCACAGTTACCAGGCCAGAGATCAGGAGAGTGGGGTGGGGCAGTCATCTGGGAACGCCTGAACACCCAGCCTGCTAGCATGTGGCAGCTCCGAGAGCCCCTTCCCGGGTTCTGGGCTGGGAAGGAGTCAGTGTTGGGTAGCCATGAGCATCTCCTTCAGACTCCTAGGGCACTGGGATGAGGCAGTGCACACTGGCCATGCGCAATCACAGCTGGGAGCTGTTTCTCCAAGCCTTGGGGGTGCAGCAGGCTGGCTGCTTCTGGGACCGTGAGGTAGGATGCATCCAACACCTCTCCCAGCTTCTCCCAGCCCCATGGTGTGCTTGTCTGGGCTCCACATCACCTCAGCCTCACCTGGCATTCTCCTCTGAGTCTGTCTCAAAACACCCTCAAATTGACACCTTGTCACTGGATGGACCCTGGTCCTGCCCACACCTGGACCTGAAGCTTGTGGCTTTGCAGATGTCATTTGCTGAACGTGAGGCCACAAGGGAGCAGGGTGAGTCCTTATCCTACAGAAGTGGTGTCCTTACAACCTAAGACAACAGGCACAAAAGGATGCAGAGGGGAGATGGCCACATGCAGGAGGCAGAGGTTGGAGAGATGTGGCCACAAGCCCAGGTGCGCCTGGGACCCTCCCCTGGTGCCCTGCTGACCCTTGGATTTGGATTTCTGTACTGTAGGACACTTACACAGCCCCCACCCAATACTTCCTGCTGGGAGGCTCGTAGCAGCTGGGGGAGGGAGGCTCCTGGGAGCGGGATAGGGGTCCCATGGGCTGACCTCCTGGCTGTTCCAGGCACCATGCCCAAACTGTTAGGCCCCTGCACGTGGGCACCCTACTGTTCATTGGTTAGGCAGCAGGACGGTCTGGGCATCTCCAATGGACTGGACTGGTTGCTGGACCAGCGCACCTTCTACCATGTGGACAGCCTGCAGTATGCGGTGCATAGTTACACCTATGCCTTGCAGGCCAGCTCTGTTGGTTCCACCCAGGGCAAAGCTGACCACTGGGGCCGCCATCTGCTGGACAACCTGCGGTGGTGACCCCTCACCTCTTTCCTACCTGGAGATCACTGGCCTTGGGGTGAAAGGGATCCTAAAGTGCCCGTTTGGTTCACTGGCTGAGCAGGGTCACATCTACTGTAGCCTGAGGCCCCAAAGCACCAGGTGAGGTAGGGTGGGTAGGTGCCAAGACCCCCCCCCATCAGACAATAAAGCTGAGGGCTGTTTCTGGTCCCTGTACTTGCAGATGCTTGGTAAACTTGGGGAAGGATGTGGCCTCAGGCCTTGGCCCCAGCCCTAGGCCTTGGCCTTAGCCCCTAGGGTCTAGCACCTAGTTACACCCTAATCCACAGCCCCTAACATCAATACCCCTAAACCCAACGTCCTAGCCCCCAACCCTAAAATCTACCCCCCAATCTTTGCCCTTCCTTAACTCTTTTTTTATTGAATGCTTTTATTGGGAGCTCTTAGATAGCTCATCACAATCCATCCATCCATTGTGTCAAGCACATTTGTACATTTGTTGCCATCATCGTCTTCAAAGCATTTTCTACTTGAGCTCTTGGTATCAGCTCCTTTTGTCCCCCTTCCCTCTCCCACCCTTCCTCCCTCATGAACCCTTGAAAATTTATAAATTATTTTTATTTTTTCATGTCTTACACTGAATAATGTCTCCCTTCACCTACTTTTCTATTGTCCGTCCCCCTGGGAGAGGGTATACGTAGAGCATTTTGATCAGTTCCCCTTTGTCCCCCTACCTTCCCCTTCCCCTCCTGGTATCACTACTCTAATATCGGTCCTGAGGGGTTTATCTGTCTTGGATTCCCAGTTTCCAGCTCTTATCTGTACCCGAATACAGTCTAGCCGGATATGTAAGGTAGAATTGGGGTCATGATAGTAGAGGGGGAGGAAGCATTAAAGAACTAGAGGAAAGTTGTGAGTTTCATCGGTGCTATACTCTACCCTGACTGGCTAGTCTCTTCTCCCTGACCCTTCTATAAGGGGATGTCAAATTATCTACAGATACCTAGACCTTAACTCTTAACCCTAACCTTCTAATCCCAACTTTCTAACCCTAATTCTAACCCCCTAAGCCCTTTACCCTCTAACCCGATAACCCTAACCCTCAAGTCTAAGCCTGAGAGGTGCAGTGCCTCTGACTGGGGTGCCCGCAGGAGTGAGGGCTCCAAAAGAAATTCTGGAGCCAGTGACCCTCCACTGTGACCTCAGCCGCTGGCTTCCCACCTCAAGTCCACTCTCCCTGCCCTCCGGGCCTCTGTCCATTCCAGTGGTCCAAACTCACTGGCTTTGTGTCGATTCCAATTCACAGTGACCCCGTAGGTCGGAGCAGGACTGCCCTGGGGTGGGGTAGGGGGTTTTGGGAATGTAAATATTTATGGAAGCCTACGGCCCCATCTTTCTCCTGACAAGCATCTGGTGGGTTTCAGCTACTGACCTTCCAGTTAACAGCATAATGCTTAACAACGGCCCCACTATGGCTTCTCTGGGTGCCCAGGGGCCTCCCTCAAGGAGAGAGCATCCCCAGTGGGCTCGGAAAGGAATGTGCTGGCTCCAGACACAGAGCTTGTCACTGGGATTCACCTGTATTCATGTTGGGGGAGGAGGTGCAGCCACCTCATCCTCTGAGCGCCAGGAGCTTCAAGGACTTGAGGAGAAAGCCCGGCTCGGCTGTGAGGACCAGTTGACCAGGCTGGTACAGGGGATGGCCAACGTCTTCCTCTGGGCCTCTTTCTTGGGGCTGGGAAAATGCCAAGTGTTAGAACAATGCTCAAATGTCAGCACCTTTGATTTGCTGCCCTCAAGCTCTGCGGTGTGTTGAGGGGTCACAAGGATGAGAGGAGAGATGGAAACCAGGTGACACTGCTGCTGGTGAGTCAGTCAGCACAGATAATCCTGTGGGCGCGTCGTCTGTTGGCTAAACCCCACCAAAGCCAGTCCATCTGAGAGCAGAAGAGGCCCTTGTGGTGTTCTTTGAACATCTATGAACCACTTAGTCTTTGCCACTGTGGACTAGACATAAATAGCTTAACAGTTAACTCAGTCTGTGTGTGTCTGTCCTGGTTTTTCCTGCCTATCCCTCTGGCTGCATTTAATACTTACGTGACCGAGAGGGGACAACTCTACACACATAATGACAACATGAGTTTCTAGATGTGCTAATTTTGGGATTCCATCTACAGGTATAGGGGTTTAGAATCAGAATCTGTACTGGGGTCAATCCATGTTCAGGGATTCAAAGACCATGGTCAATGGACAAGCTTAGCAGCGACGGGTCAGGATACAGGGTTTCGTCATTAGAGTGTTTTGTGTTTATAGGGTAAGTTGGGGCTAATAAAGGGCTTGGGGTTTAATGTTAAAGGATTTGGGATTAAAGATATAAAAATAATGGGGTTTGGTTTTTTTTTAATCTAGGAGTGGGAATTATGAATTTAAGGTAAGGATTTAGGCTGGTGGTTAGGGAGAGGGTTGTTAGAGTAAAGAGAAAGTATTAAGGCTTGAGTAGTGGCTTGAGGCTGGAGGTGAGTGTTAGCATGTAATGGTGTTATGGCGTCGTTAAGGATACTAAGTTTGTTGAGGGGCTTGGGATGCTCAGAGGCTTGGGGGTTTTGGGGGTACTCATGGCATTGTAGGTAAGAGATTATGGGTTAATCTCGCTCACTGCCATAGCCCAGGTTTTCCCCTGAGCAGTATAGGTGGTTGTTTTGAACTGCTGACCTTGGGGTTAGCAGCCCAGCATGTAGCCTGCTTTGCCACCAGGGCTCCATATAGGTTAGGGGTAAATCACAACCGATCTTTAGGTGTTGAACTGTTTCCTACAATTTTGCTGACTTTGTTGATCAGTTCTTGATCAGTTCTAGTATTTGTGGATCCCTTGGAATCTTCTGTATAAGAGGGTTTCATAAGTGTGTAGAAAAATTCCATTCTCTTTCAATTTCACTTTTCCCATGAACTTTTAAAGCCTTCTGGCACATAGGATAATGTCATCTCTGAGTGGAGGTCGTTTTACTTCTTTCTTTCCTACGTATACATTGACCTCAAATGCTATATTTCGTTGAGGATTTTTGCATCTTGATTCATAAGGGGTATCAGCTGGGCACCTTCATTTCTTGTGGTATCTTTATCTGGCTTTGGGGTCCGGGTATATTGCCGGTCATAGATGAGGAGTTAGGAAATGTTCCCTCAAATTCTGTGTTTCAGCCTCTTAGCTGAAAGCAACAATTCAATGCATTTATTTCTACCACCTGAGTTCTCTGGCCTCTAACTGCCAGAACCTTGAGGTTTAAACTGTGTTATAGTCCCAATCAGGACAGAGATGAGGCTGTTTGCTCCCAGAAACACTATGAAGGCTTGCTATGATTCAGAATTGCCTCAGTGGCAGTGGGCTTGTTTGTTGGTTTCATAGTTTGGCTGCAAGTCCTCAGAGTCCAACTTTGGCTCTACTGTATTGGTTTTAGATCTCTGGAGAAGCCTGAGCCCACCCTCTCTCAGCATCCCCTCCCTCTGACTACAGCCCTGCCCTGTACACTGTGCCTCTGGGTGGCTGGATCACTGCCCTCAGACCAGGGCACAGCCTTAGGAGAGGGTCTGCTGTGAGCAATTCTGGGTGTGCCTTGCTGAGTTCCCCCCTCTTTCCCTACAGTAGAGTGGGAAAAACGAGAGGAGCGTGGGTCTCTTGTGCTTTGGAAGCCGCCTGGGTTACTCCCAAGTCCACAAACAAGGGTAAGTCATGCCTTCACTTGTCACGTGCAGCTGATGTAAACGTCCAGCAGAGGGCACCCAAGGGGCACCCTGGGCACTATTTCTCTAAACACCACTGATGGACATGTCTTGGGTAAAGAGAGATGGCTTCTGTGGCTGCTACCACATTGTTGCTACTGTGGAATACCCCTTAAGATGACGTTTTCTGGGAGGAATCAAAAAAGGAGTCAAGCTTCAGAGGCTGGCCAAGGAGTGGGTTGAGAACGAGGTCCCCTCACACCCCTGGGACAGAAAGTGGGGTTTGCATGCAGGGCAACTTCATGAGGCTAATGGGCACAGCGAGATGGTGGGAATGCTCTGAGTCCTGCAGGCACACGCTCGTTTGTGATGGGCCCTCTGCTGCTCCCCGCCCGGCCACGTTATCCCTGCCCACCTAGGCTTCACTGCTTCGGCAAGGCCCCAGAGGGTGGGAAGAGGGCATCATCAAGGGTCTTCAAGCAGCCCCTTCTGCCTGATGGCACCTCTGCCCCTCACATTACTCTGCTTCACCCTCTCCAGGCTCCTGATGGGGGTCTGGTCCAGGGTTTCTAGCCTGGGGAAAGAACTGGAAACTGGCCTTCCTTCCCATTCCCCTCATGTGTGGAGGTTGTGAAGAGAGCATCCCAGAGCCCAGGCCAATAGCCTCACTTCCCTCCACCCCCACCGTGTGCCTCTCAGCTGTTCTGCTGACATCACCCTGGGTTCCGAGCCAAGGTGTCTGATGTGGTCCCAGTATCCTTTTCCCTGGCCATGGACTTTGCCATCCCCTGGAAACTGCTGGCCTGTGGGCAGCCCCAGGAGCTCAGAAATGTGGAGACGCACACTTGGCTCCAGCAGACTAACACACTGGGGAGGTCAGGAAGGAAGGAGCACTCCAGGCTCTTGCTATGGGTCAGCTCTTTATTGCCCAGGCCTCGTGGTCTCCAAGGTCTCTGTCTCCCAGGATTGAGGCGTCCACTTCTGCCATGTGTTACACTGGGAACCCACCCTCTGATTTGGAGGCGGCAATGGGATTATGTTTCCATGCTATGCGGAAGATTAATCCCTTTGAGGGCCTGCAGAAACAGACACTGACCCGTCGATTTGGGCGGGGTGTCCAGGGGCCGGCCTAATCTTCAGAGAGGGGCCACAGAGGCTATACCTCTGGGGATTAGAAGGGGCAAGGCTACAAGGGGCTGGAGACCAAGTTTCTGGGTGTGGCCACCCTTAGGAAGCAGGACCCTCAGGTTTCTTTTCTGACCCTCTTTCCCTCAGGCTGCTGAGTGGCATATGGCTGAGGCCCACACTGAACAGCTGGCTGGTTGGTGGTGCCCAGAAGATGCCCGACAGCCAGCTCCTTTGGCTGACGTAATTTCAAGCAGGTAACAGGTGTGCTGGGGGTGCAAGGACGTGGCAAGGGCGCAGACCCCTCTTCCCTTACACCCCTCAGCAGGCAGGCCCTTCCAGGATTGGCATGAACTGCAGCCCACTCACTGTAGAACCTCAGGGTTTTTTAGCCAGGGCTTCTGGAACCACTGACCTGCCTACCGCCCATCAGCTTCCCCTGGGCAAGTGCCCCTTCAGCACTAGTTGCCCCACAACAGGGCCCCTGCTGTCCTCAGACACATGGGTCTTTTCACCACTGTATGTCTGGAAGAGCCTCCGCTTCCAGGGCCTGTCAGATAGGCTGCACTGACAGAGAACTGCGTGGGAGCTCCACCCTTCAGGCAGACCCCAGGTCCTCCCCCACTACCCATTGTGTGTATGTGCACCCGAGGCGTCCCCATGTCCTCAGAATGAATCCCGGAACAGCTATGTGAGGGCACAAAGCTCACCTGTGATGCCCTCCTCCATTTCCCAGAAGTTATGTCTTTCTTCCTGAACATGAAGGATGGCTCCTGCAGCCACCAGGTGTGACCATTAGCGCAGGTTAGGGGCAGAGCCCGCAGAAGGACAACTGAGTCAGGGGACAAGCAGAGGATGACCCCACTTTATCCAGGACCACCTGTCCAGGTGTGCTCTGCTGTGTATGTCATCTGCCCAGCTAGAATCTCCCTGTGTATGTCATCTGCTCAGGTGTGCAGGTATATTCTCTGCCTTCATGTACATCAGGTCAGGTTTGCCACCTGCTCAGGTATGTACCTGGCCAGGTATGCATGTCCTCAAGTGTGGCCCCTGCCCAGGTTTGTTTGGTGCCCAGCTGTGGCCTCAGATGCTCCCCTCTTGGCTATTGCAGGAGCTGGACTTGGCCTGGGGTGGGTAGAATTTGATCGCTTCACTGTTGTGCTGCACATCTTCTGCTGCCAAGGAGGCCCAGCTGCAAGTGGCCAAGATCCCCCTGGTCAGTAGAGGCCAGGAACCCTCCTCAGGTAGATGCTGGCAGTGTTCGTCACCTCCCACCCTGACACAGCACAGACAACAGAGGATCATGGCTAGTAGAGGACAGTGTGGGGCAGTAGTGAGGGCTGATTTCCGGCCTGGTGCCCTAGTCTGGTGAACCCTAATGGGGCTGCCCAGTAGATGCCATCCCGGACAGTGACAGCATGTGGGGCAAGGACCCACCTCTAGAGCCAGGTCTAACCTGAAGGACATGTCACACTTGAACCAACCAGGTGGGGACTCTTGCTACATCATGGGCTCAGGTCGAATGCTGTTTCCTGTCCCTGGGCCAGGGGATTTGGTAGCTCTGGCTGGCATGTTCACACCTCAGTTCCTGTCCAGGGGACAGAAATTGGAGGCATAAGGTGACAAACTTGTCTCCCAGTGCTGGTGACCTGGAGTCTGAGGTCAAGGGGTTTCTCAGTCTCTCACAGCTCCTGAGGGCCCTGGACAATCCTGAGCTTGTGGCCAAATCTCTCCAGCCTCTCCCTCCATGTCTCTTCTGTAGGATGAGGGCCCCCATGCTTCAGGACACAGAACATGCCCTGGGCCCTGGGATGACATCTTGTGCTTGGGCTCAGGTTCCATGCTCATGACCCCTCCCACCTGTGTTGCAGGGGAGACAGTCCTGCAAGTTAAACAGCGGCTGCTAAAGGATAAGGAGGTGAGGATCAAGAAAGTACTAAAGAAGCTTGCCACAAAAACGGTGTCTGCTACACGGATAGCGGCAGTGCTGTGAGCTTGTGGGGTTTCACCAACTCTGGTGAGGACTCGGGCATGGGATGGCTGCCCAGGGTGTGGGTGTGCGGGTGTGTGTAGTGGGGGAATACAGACTGAAGGGGTACCACAGACTGATGGAACATGAAGAGACTGTGGCAAGGTCGCTCAGGGGTCAGGATGGGTAATGGTGCACCCTGACGCTTACTTGGGCAGTGGTGGTCAGGGCTAGGACTCTCTACTTCCTGAAGTGCCCCTGGGAACAATCCCCCACAGGGCATCTCACTCCTGCTCTCCTGTCTGCCCACCTGTTGGGAGGTCTGTGTGCTGCATTTATGCTGAGCAAACCTCAGTGGAGCATTCAAACTCAAAGGCCCTTGGTGCTGAGCCTGGAACCTTGCAGGCTGCGGGAGTTGATGTCACCATGGACCGGACCAACCTTCCCCGGGCCAGTGATTGCCACATGCTCATCACCTGCTGAAAGACGCCGCCCGCCCCCCCACCCCCACCCCAGGAGCCGGCAGACATAGCAGATTACATGGTGTACTGCTCACCACAATGTCATCAGCTCTAAACTACCAGCTGCTCCGAGGGAGGACCATGAATGGCAGTCTCTCCAGTAAAGACTGACAGTCTCAGAACCCATTGGGGGCACTTCTATCTGACCTGTCAGGTCAACAGAAGGCTGCTCACCACAGGGGCAGTTTCAACCACAAAAGCCAAAACCTTTGTAACGTGCTGTCTCCTGTGCCCTCCAGGTTCAGTGTCAACAGCCCACCACACCACCAGAGACGGGGCTAGCTTACCACATTAAGCCTTGTCCTCTGACATCAACCCCATGTGGTTTGCCTTCTCCCGAGCCCAACTGGGGATGCAGCACCAGCCTCTGACCTTTGGCTTACAAGTCACCTCTTTCACTGCCACCCTGGTAGATGTGGCCTGTGCAGTGAGAGTGGCCCCTCATGGGCCAGCTGTGAAGTGGGTGAGGGGGTACGTTAGAGGTTCCTATAGGAACACCCAGACGCCACCAAGGGCAGAGAGGTCATGCACAGGGAACCCAGCTGGGACAGACCAGGCACCAAGGGTCCCACCTGGGGCAGGCTGTGTGTTCACTCTGAGATTACAGGTGATGCGTTCAGTCTGCATTGATGTCAGGTGGCAAGGCTGATTGAGGTTTGAGTCTCCTCTTGGGAAGCCCCCTACATCGGCCTTCAGGCTGCCAGCTGATTTGCTTAGGCCCACTACTCAGCCCTTGAGTTCAGCCCTGCTGAGGATGAGCACTGACTGTACAGGACACCTGCAGCCCCAACTCCCAGCCCTGGTGTAGCTGAAAGGGCACAAGTAGGTGACATTCACAAACAGGGGCCTCACGGTTCACATGGTGAGCTCAGGGGAGGCCCCCTCAGTTCTTGGCTCCTTGTAGAGCCCTGGTAGAGTCTGTCCTCCACCTCCCCTGCTTGGTGGCTTTCTGGCTCAGCTGCACTCTTAACCAGCATATTTGGAGAACATATCCTGTCTACAGGATTCCTCCAGTGACTCCCAGTGCCTAACTCCTCTCTGACCATGTCTGTCACCTCCACCCTCTATCATCTCTGTTCCCTCTGTCTCTGCCCTCTCTACTTCTCTCCTCACACATCTGTCCACCCACCGCCCACAGCCAGCCCACTCCTCTCTATCCCATCCACCCTGCATATCCCTCACCAGCTGTCCCTGTTCCCTGGTGGCCTGTAGAGTGATATCGCACAAACTCGCCCTCTTTGGTGCTCTAGCTTTTGGTACAGGGCAGGGGTGGGCTGTCCTGTGCTGACCATGCAGGCTTCCCCAGTCTGTGAGACATCAGCCACCCTGAGATGGCGCTGCAGAAGACGAGCATCCTGTCTTGTGGTGGATAGCCTATGTCTGTCCACCCCACTGCTGGGGGCACTCCTGAGGGTGCACGTGGACCTGGTGTCACAACTATGCCAGCAGAAATGCCATAGGGTGGGGGGCACAAAGGTGTAACCCTCCTGACCCCAATCAATTTGCCTTCTCAGGCCACCTAAGGGCTCGTCCCTCCACCCACATTCCAGGCTGCCTTTCCAGCCACCCCACCTTCCCCTGGACGTCCACGGCCCTCCTGTCACACAGGCAACCAGCAGAATTCTGCTGCCCTGGAGGCCGGCTGCGCAGTCAGGTTGATGGATGAAAATCTGGGCCTGCGCGGTGTGGAGGACCAGCAAGCATGAGCAAGCCTGTCCCGAGGACCCTGGGTCACCAGTGGGCTGCAGGGCTTGAGGTGGCCCCTGGAAGATGTAGTCCTGAACGCGACCTAGCAGCGACTTTTCACCCTCCAGATATGGCTGGCCAGGGTGCAGCTGAAGTCAGGGAGGGATTGGTTGGGGGCAGAGCTGAGTTGATGGGGTAGCTGCAGTTAGGGGTATAGCTGAGGTGGGGGGGGTGGCCTTAGTTGCTATGGCAAGGTGGGGGTCCCTGGCACAGTGAGACCACATTAGGAAGCACAATCAGCAGAACTGGCTGATGCTGCAGCAGGAAACATCCTGGGGAGCCCTCAGAGGGCACTTAAGGGGGCTGTTCCTACACTGCCCTGTGGGCAGCCACATTATGTTACCTCAAGATCAGAGTAGAAGCATCAAGTCCTTGGGAGCCTGCTGGGATTCAGGGGGCATGGCATATCCTTGCCCTGGAACTCTAGTTTGTTGGCTTTTTAGTTTTTTCAGCAAGATTACAATGCCCTCAGAGCTGTCCATATGCTTTGTGGTGCCTAGCAAGCCCCATAGGCAGAGGGAGAGCCCAACCCCACAACGGGTTCCTACCACCCCCAAAATGCAACTGAGGTACAGTTCTGTTCACACAAGGAACCACCCAGTAGGGAAAATGGGGACCTCGGAGCAAGCGGCCATGGGGGTGCCATGCCATGCCAGGGAGGCCAGAGCTAGGCCCCCTTGAGGTCAGCAGTTCAAAACTACCAGCTGCATAGTCTGCTCCCATCAAGCCTGGGAAACTGACTGGGGCGGTCCTACCCTGCCCCATCCCACAGGGTCACTGTGACATGGTAAAGTTGGGGGGCAGTGACAGATGTTTTATCCTGGTGTGCATCTCCAAAAGGCTGGGATGAGGTCAAGGAGTGAGCCTGCAAACACAGGGATGTGGGGTGCAGCACACTGGACAAACTGGTCTTCCTGAGGTGTCCCAAGGGGCTACAGAGGGAATTACGGGCTTCCTGGAACAGGCAAGTCCCAAAGCTTGAAGATGAAATGGTGGAGGCTTAGCTTACAGCCTGGACCCTGAAGGGCCTGGTTCCCTGCAACTTGTATTCCAGGCCCACCCCCACAGGCAGATGTTATCGATTCAGGAGACCAGGTATTTGTGTTCCTGCACACCTTGTGTGGGTGTGTCTCCAGCCCATCAGGGTGTGTGCGTCGGGGATAAAGGGACACAGGGCTTCCCCCTCCCCCGCCCACCTGTCCCTGACCTCAACCAGCACCATGGTATCTTGGGGCACCCCTCGGCCACAGATCCAAGTACCAGGAACCCTTGTGTGATGGCCAGCACCTGCGTGTGAAGCCTCAGGCCACCCTAGGCTGCTAGTTCCTACACAGGTAGGGTCCCCACCACTGAGATAGGGTCCACCTGTTAGGACCCTGAACAGGCTGCCCCTCCCCACATCATCCTGTGTCTATCAGAGCAGTAGGGTGTTTGAAACTGGCAGGGAGCAAGCCCCCTCCCCCCCCGCCCCCTCCTGCAGCATCATGCAGGCCAGGGAGGGTTGTCGTCGGTGGTGTGGGGTGGTATCTGGCTGATGAGCACCACAGGCCAGGAGATGCAGGTCCTTAAGTGGAGATAAGACTACCAGATCCAAAGCAGGAGCCAAACCCACATCTGCTGCTCTGGCCTGAACCCCACCGGGGATGGCCACATGACAGGGCTATTCTTGCAGGGTGCCCTCCTCCCTGTGCCCAGAATTGGGGCCCTGGTGCTGTTCCCGAGCCTGTGGGCCTCCCATCACCACATACCTGCAGGTGCTTTCCTTGCAAGGGTGGCTACTTACCCAACCAGAGTGCAACCAGCTCCGCCAAGGCCGCCCACTATGCCTTGTGCTTGAACCTGCTAGCTGCTGGTTCCAAACCTGCCCCAAAATAGCCATAGATTGCCCCTGCCTGACATATCCTGCCTGTGCTTGATCCACCCCTCTGGCCTTCACAGGGCACATGCAGATTTTTTTTAGCCGAAATTGTGAAATGGATATATGAAGCCATCATGGCCTCTGGCTCCTGTCACAGTGTCCCTCAGCACCCATGGGATACCCTCACCTGGGATTTGGGGGCAGGCCCTGTAACAGGCCTGAGATCCCGTGGTGATGCCACCCTCCCTGGGCCTGATGTGATGCTGGCCTTGTGCACCAATCATAGTTCTGTGCAGAACCACATCTGTAGTTCCTCCTGAATGTTCCAGACAGTGGGTAGCAGGGGCTACCAGACAGTTGGGACAGATCACACTGGAGGTCAGGGAAGTCAGGCTCACGTGAAGATGTCTGCAGCTGCCCCGGTCCACGGGTCTCCACAGTGGACTTCCAGCAGGAGAGATCCTGGCCCCTTCCCCTAGCGTGCCTCTGCTGTTCCACACTGCCACAGTCCAGTGGCGGTGGCTTCTTGTGGAAACAGCCTGAGGAATAGACAGTGGGTTTGAACTGCTGACGTCGAGGTGAGCAGCTCAATGCTAGCCTGATTTCACAGGGGACATGGAGATTCTGGCACTCCAGTACTATCTTTGCTGATTTTTAAATTGTGGTGAAATAGATACGGGCTTTGGAAAGGTGTGGGCACATGGTTTGAGATGATCCCTGGACCAGTTTGCCATGTACCCCAACCCACTGTTCCTGGAAGTCCCTTGGGTGCTGATATTTAAAGTCATGTGCATCCACGGGGAGCCTGGAAACCATGCCTGGAGCCCCCTGGACACTGTCATACACCCGTCAGAGATCAAACACCCTCCTCACTCCCTGTGTTCCCAGTTTCACAGGGGCCCTGGGTCACTCGGAACCCTTCAGAGGGAGCCCTGACACTGCATCCAAATCCACTGACCCTGGAGCGTCCAGAAAACCACACCCCTTTCCATCAGCTGCACTTCTGAGAAGCTGGGGGTGGGGTGTCTCTGGAGGGAACAGAACTGACAGCCCTTCCTGTCTCCTCCTCCCACTCACTGTGGGGAATGAACAGACCTGGGACAGGTGTCCTGAGGCATCACTAACACAACAGGCTGTGTGGTCTCCCCCAGCTCCAGAGACAGTGTCCAGGGGTGGACTGTCACGTCTTCCCCACTCAAGCTGCAGGGTCCTTCCTCAAGGTTTCTCCCAGCTCCTTGGAGCCCCAAGCATCCTTGGGTTTGTGTCCGCATCTCTGCAACCTCTGCTTCCATGTGGCCGCCTATCCTGTGTCTCTCTCTCTCTCTATTCAGGAAACCAATGATTTCTGGAATCAGTAGCTGCACCTGTGTGGAGGCTGAGTTGCAATTGAGGATTTGGTGTCATGAGGCTGGCTGGTAGTCCCACCGTATTCCAAGTGGATGACCTCTTGCTTGATTTCAACCTCAATCTGTAAAAGACTCAACAGGAAAATAAATTCCAAATTCAGAACAAAAACATCATGGTCAAGTAGATACCGTCTCTATGGGAGCAGACAGGTTGGTCTTTCTCCCTCACAGCACCTGTGGGTTCAAAACACTGAGCTATGAGCTGAGTGCTTAACCCTGCACCACCAGGGTTCCTGACTGGGCCACCAGTGACCATGTATGAGCTCTCTTGTGACTGATGTGGGTTATACAGAAACTCTGTACAGGTTGCTCTCAGCAAGGAAGGAGCCCTGGGGTGCTCACTGCGGTGTCAACACTTCAAACCCACCAGCCATTCTGAAGGAGAAAGAGGAGGCTTTGAATTCCCATAAACAGACACAGCCCTGTCCTGCAGAGTTGCTGAGTCGGTATCAGCTTGATGGCCTAGGGTTAGGCTGGCTTGAGGGGGTGGGGTGGGGCAAATGACAAACATTCATCATGGCTGCTCATGAGGGTGGAATCTGCTCAGAAGCGCCTGAGAAGAAAGGGCTGGCTGTCTGGTCTTGAAGAACAGCCTGGGGAACGCCAGGGTGCAGCTCTGTTTAGACACTGTGGAACTGTGTGTCTGTCCTGGGCCCTCAGGAAGCATCCTGCTAAGCGCTCCCTCAACTGGTGTGCAATTCGTTCCCTGGAGCTCATGTGCCCACTGCCATCACCACCTGCAGCTACTGATGGTGGTGGCACTGGCAGGCCCAGGGTGGGCAGGTCCCTTCCGAAGGGCTCCGTGGGTAGAGAGCACCCTCAGAGTCTACCCCTGTCCCCATGGGAGGAGCCCCAGGTGCATGGGGTCCTGGCTGAGGGGGATGGGAATGGGCAGGTCAGGGTCTGGGGTTCCAGCCCCAAAAGTCCACTGCCATGGATTGGATTCTGACTCAGTGACACTCCAGGACAGGACAGATCTGCCCCCATGGTTACTGCAGCTGTGGCTGTTCATGGGAGCACAAAGCCTCTTCTTTCTCCTTCAGTGCAGCCAGTGGGTTTGAAGTGAGAACCCCAGGGATCCTTCCTTGCTGAAAGCAACCTGCAGTTTCTGTGTAACTGTGTAATCCACATCCCATCCAGAGTGGGAAGTTGTCTGCTCCTAGAGATAATCTGGTCTTTCTCCCCTTGAGCAGATGGTGGATATGAACTGCCAACCATGAGGTGAGCAGCCCAACGCCTAGCTCATTGCCCTGCCAGGCTCTGATGCCCTGCCCCACCACTGACTGTCCCGCAGGTCATCAAACAACGTGGATACCTGAAAAAGGGACTGGGAATGAAGAGGGGCAAGAGACGTGAGAAATGGAGGCAAGACAGGAGTCTGATCAAGCCTCATATTGAGAAGGCAGAGGCTTAAATACCCAATGGTGGGCGGGTAGCATTACATCATATGCTAATAAAGTGTAACGGGTAGTATCCAATAATCACGCAGCTACCAAATATGGAAGAAATGGCAGGCATCGGTCCTCAAACAGGTCCGCATGCAAATGAGGTGCACTTGGATGCCTGGCGGAGGTGTCCAATGAGCATGGCGGTTGCCTGCCACTGAGCACCAATCATCACAAAGGTCAAGCAATGAAAAAAACTCAGGCAAGACAATAGCCAGGGAACATCCTGGAATGGGAAGCTTAAAGACAGCGGACGGCGCAGGCCATGGGCTGAGGGACGTGCAGACTCCCACATGTCCCCCTTTTCTGTATAACAGCGAACACAAAGTATTCGTGCAATGAAGTTTGGAATATCCTTTAGGGGACTGCGTCTGTCCTAGGTCGTCAGGGCACTGATTCATCCTTACCCGTCATGGGTCTCGAGGAACGCCTTTAATTACATTCTGGCAAACCAGGGCCTGTCTTAGGTTGGTATGAACAGTGCCTGATCTTACCCGTCATTGACTGTTCAGCCCAGCACACAAAGGAAGGGGGTCTTATCACTCAGGCGAGTTGGGGAGTGGGCCACCCTTGTCTAACATTTCCAAACGATGATAATGCACTTGAATAGGCTACGCTACAACAGCTTCAATTTGCTGTTTTAAAAATGCCATGAGTTTGTTAAATATCACAGGCCCTAATGAAATGAGTAATAGTAATATTATGAGAGGGCCCAATCCACTATTTTAAAGTCTGTATGATTTAACAATATCTTAGGCCGTTTTCCTCGACAAGTTTATACCAATTATAGCATTTCAGGATCTACATTAAGGAGTGGGAAAATTGATAACAGGGTAGAAGCGGCCTCGGAAATATTACCGACCTTCCCCCGAAAGCCTCTTACAGAAATAAGAACCGTAGTTGCTGCAAAAGAAAAATGATTACACCTCACTCCCCAAACCTCATGTGAATAAGATAAACAATGAGAATCATATCTTGGGAAAATAGGGAATCCCCTCACCCCCAAGCTATAATTATTAATATTCCTGTCTTCTTCTTCAGCAAAAGGAAAAGGGAACATTTTTAAAACTCTTGCAGAAACTTTTGAGTGCGGGACTTCTTAGCCATCTCTCCGTTTCAGAAGTTGCGTTGACAACCACTCAGCTCCGGAATCTGTGGAGATAAGAGCAAACCCTCCACCCCATTGTAAAACCTCTCCTTCTAGGGCTCTATAAACTATTGGTTCTGGAGGGGAGCACTTTCTTTTAAGCTTAGGAAAAGGAGATAGGGTTGCAGAGTCCTCCAGCGCCTGTCACTGATTTTAGCAGACAGAGCACTTTCCACCAATCAGCACCAGCTACCACCTCTGCAAACAACTCAGCTTGTTATGCAGTTCCGCCGATCCCTGCACAAGCTCTGATATGAGAAAAGCTATTATTCCTGGATTGGGAGGCAGCTCCTCCCCATGTTTTGGCCTTGAGAAAGTGAAAGTAGCTCCGGACAATGGAGCAGCTAAAGGGCTGTTAGCAGAATGACATTTAAGCATTTGTTTTAGCAATTTTATAATCTCTTGAACATCATTTCCTTCTATCACAACATCTGATTCTTTCTTTGCTAATTCTGGACCGGCCAGTCTGCTTCCTCAGGGGGTTCCCTTGTTTTCAGGGTGGTTGAGCAAGGATTGCCTCAAGGCTTTCCAGGCGACAAAGGCACAGCGGCTGGATGTTACAGCTCAGTGTTACAGCTCAGTGTTTACGGCAGAGTGCTACAGCTCAGTGTCACAGCTCAGTGTTTATGGCAGAGTGCTACAGCACAGTGTCACAGCTCAGTGTTTACAGCAAAGTGCTACAGCACAGTGTCACAGCTCAGTGTTATAGCAGGATGCCAGCGGCGCAGGAACCGAGGCTTCTCAACTCGCTAGTGCCCCACGTTGGGGCGCCAAAACGACCCATCCCGCAGGTCATCAAACAACGTGGATACCTGAAAAAGGGACTGGGAATGAAGAGGGGCAAGAGACGTGAGAAATGGAGGCAAGACAGGAGTCTGATCAAGCCCCCTTTATTGAGCAGAAGGCAGAGGCTTAAATACCCAATGGTGGGCGGGTAGTATTACATCATATGCTAATAAAGTGTAACAGGTAGTATCCAATAATCACGCAGCTACCAAATACGGAAAAAATGGCAGGCATCAGTCCTCAAACAGGTCCGCATGCAAATGAGGTGCACTTGGACGGTCCGCATGCAAATGAGGTGCACTTGGATGCCTGGCGGAGGTGTCCAATGAGCATGGCGGCTGCCTGCCATGGAGTACCAATCATCACAAAGGTCAAGCAATGAAAAAAACTCAGGCAAGACAATAGCCAGGGAACATCCTGGAATGGGAAGCTTAATGACAGCGGATGGCGCAGACCATGGGCTGAGGGACATGCAGACTCCCACACACCACCATTTTCTTTTTATTCACTGCCATGAAGTGGATTTTTTTACTAACAGCATCCTTACAGGACAGGGTAGAACTGTCCCTGTGGGTTTGAGGAGGTCAGTCTTTACGGAAGCAGACAGCCTCTTAGTGGGTTTGAACCACCGACCCCGGTGATCAGCCCAACATCTGACCCACTGCTCCACCAGGCCTCACCCAGACACCTTCAGTCCAAACTAGCCGGTTGGCCTGGAATCTGCTTGGGTTCAGGGCGCCCCCATGTGCATCGGAGCAGAACTGCACCGTGAGGTATCAGCCCAGAACCAATCCTGCCCTGTGGGTGTCTCCACAGAGCAGATGGCCTCTTTCACCCTTGGAACGGCTGATGGGCAGCCCAGGGCATGACCCATCGAGCCACCAGAGCCCTGGTGGTCCCTCGCTGTGTTTCCATGCCCCAGGCTAACCCTTCTGTGCAGCTTGTCCTCTGTCCCTGAAGGTCCTTGGAGTGACTGTGCTCCCCACAAAGTACTAGCTGCTGTTCCTTGAAGATGTCACCCCTTCTTCCTCCCCTAGTGAAGCTCAAAGACGCCTCTCCCACACCAGCCACAGCCCGAGGCCACTGGGAGCCCCAGAACCCTGGTGTCCCCAGAGCATTCCTGAGAAGGGAGTGTCCGGGACACAGCCCACTGACCATCCTGGTAAGAACCAGAGTGCGGAGGGGGGTGAAGGGTCAGCTGGGGTCAGAGGGAGCTAAGGCACTACTTCATGGTCTCTAAATGGCCGCCATCTGCCACATTTCAGAACATTCCACACAGCACAGTCGGAGCTGTCCCCCACAGGCAGGACTGCCCTCCACACTAAGAACTTTGGCCCACAGGGCCCTCGGGAGATGGCCATGGCCACTGAGGACAGGCAACTTCATAGGGAACCCAGGGCCTTGGGCCTGAGAAGGGAGGGGAACGGAACACGGATCGTCTGTGTGGGCCCCAGGGGACACGGGAGCTGGTGCCACATTGCCCAGGGGTCTGTGTGGAGCTGTGTGCTGCCCGTGGGGGTGGGGTGGGGGTCCTTCTTTGTCACACTTGTACTCTTGCGCAGGGTCTGTGGAGCTGCCAGTGTTCAAGATGGTTCTGCCGTGGTAAGTGCTGCATGCTGAATGGCTGCATTTCAGGATGACTCACAGGAGGTGTCTGCAGAGCTGGTGCCTTCTGTGGGACTCTTTCCCAGCTTTGTGTCCCCCAAAGATATGCTGAACATTAGAGGCTATTTGTCAGCACATGGTGTGAGGTTAGATGCATTCAGCTTTCAGACTAATGTCTGGTCCCACCCCCTGCTGTTAAGGACAATGGATTATTTCTCCCTGAAGGCATCTGTTCCACTAAAGGTGGGGCTCACACCCTACTGCTAGCATTGTTTCCAGGGGGAGACAGAGAATGGGTCAGACCTGCTCAGTGACATCCAAGGGCAGGCTGCCATCTTGAATCTAGGACTGCACATCTTGTCACCCCCCAATCCCTCCCCTACCTATTGCATGTATACCCCTAGATTGTCCCCCTCTCATTACTGTATTACCTGTAGTACAAACCCTTCCTGTAACGTATGTCTTTACCTGTAATTAGGGGGTTTACATGCCCACCTAAGACATAGAAGCCTTCATTAGAAATAAAGAGCTCTCTTTGGGGCCAAGGCTTGGTGCCCCATCAGACTTGACAGGAAAGCACTCCTTAAAGGCCAGCAAACAGTACTTGAACTACAAGCTTTCCTTTCTTCTTGTGTTTTGTTTTTTTTTGCCATTGACTTGTTTTGTTTCATTTCATTGCTTTGTTTTGCTGTCTAGCTTTTGTGCATGTTATTATCTCCACAGCTCTAAGATAGGCTGGATGAACACTCTGGCAGAGACAACTGGACCGACAGTTCCAGTGGGACATGGGAGAGGTAGGGGCAAAGGAAGTGGCATTAATAAACCAAGGGACAAGGGAACAACAAGTGATCCAAATTGGTGGTGAGGATTTGTAAGGCGTGACCAATGGTAATGTGACAGAGAGGAATTACTGAAACCCAAATGAAGGCTGAACATGATAGTGAGACAAGAGGAAAGTCAAAGGAAATAGAAGAAAGAGCTAGGAGGCAAAGGGCATATAAAGAGGTAAATATATTTATATATGAGGATGTGGAAATAGATCTATGTGCATATATATATATAGGTTTAGTATTAAGGTAGCAGATGGACATTGGGCCTCCACTCAAGTACTCCCTCAATGCAAGAATACCTTGTTCTATTAAACTGGCATTCCATGATGCTCACCTTCCCGACACAATCGCTGAAGACAAAGCAGGTGCGTAAGCAAATATGGTGAAGAAAGCTGATGGTGCCTGGCTGAAGATATAGTGTCTGGGGTCTTAAAGGCTTGAAGGCAAACAAGCGGCCATCTAGCTCAACAAAGCCCGCATGGAAGGAGCACACCAGCTTGTGTGATCACGAGGTGCCAAAGGGATCAGTTATCAGGCATCAAAGAACAAAAAATCTATCATTGTGAATAAGGGGGAGTGCGGGGTGGAAACCCAGAGCCCATCTGTAGGCAATTGGACATCCCCTTACGAAAGGGTCGCAGGAAGGTGAGGAGCCAGTCAAGGTGCAGTGTAGCAACGAAGAAACAGGAAACTTTCCTCTAGTTCCTAAATGATTCCTCGCCACCCCCCCACCCGCACCCCCCATCATGATCCCAATCCTACCTTACAAATCTGACTAGACCTGAAGATGTAGACTGGTACATACAGGAACTGGAACCACAGGGAATCCAGGGCAGATGATCCTTTCAGGACCAGTGGTGACAGTGGGGATACCAGGAGGGTAGTAGGAGGGTAGAAAGAGGGAACCGATTACAAAGAACTACATATAACATCCTCCTGGGAGACGGGCAACAGAAAAGTGGATGACGGGAGACCACGGACAATGTAAGATATGACAAAATAATTTATAAATTATCAAGGGTTTATGAGGGAGGGGGGAAGCGGGGGAAATGAGCTGATGCCAGGGATTTAAGTGGAGAGCAATTGTTTTGAGAATGATGAGAGCAATGAATGTACAAATGTGCTTTTCACAACTGATGTATGTATGGATTGTGATAAGAGTTGTATGAACCCATAATAAAATGATAAAAAAAGACATGCATATAATTAGGGCTTTTTAGTTTTCAGTGCTGTATAATGTATGCTTTGTAATGTATAATGTATGCTGCATAATGTAAGAATATACCACAGTTGACGTCTCCCAGTTGATGGTAAAAAAAGGGGGGGGCTCTCTCCCCATGCCCCCCGACCCCCACCTGGCACTGTCTCTCTGGTCCTTGCTCCCTTGTCCCCTCTCCCCTAGTCCTCCTTCCCCTCCCTCACTGAGGCTTCTGCTCTCTCTCCTGCCCTGTACTACCAAGAGTTGAGGTGAGCAGGCTACCATGAAATGTGCCTGACTCCATTATTTCAATATCTCTTCTATCCCTCCTTATTCTCTATGACTTTGTGTGTGTGTGTATTCACACCGTACAATTGCGCCTATCGAACCCTCATTAGTTGTGGGGGGCTGGCCTTGCCCCTCAGCCTTCAACTCTTCAACTGAACCACATTTTAAGGCCGATTTCCGATTCGGCGGGCCATTTCAAAACCGGTGGAACCCAAGCACCAGTGTGGAGAGCCCCGACCACAGTCGCCAGGAGCCAGGCCCTCTCCTGCCCAGCACCCAGCCTTCTCCGCCTCCTCTCCTTCAGCTGGGCCCTCACTGCCCTCTCCCATCTTACCGTGTGAAGAGAGCCGACGGGGAGCGGGGCTGAGGCGGGTCCGTGGGGGCGGCTGACACCGTTACTGACGCTGCCATAGGCTTCTAGAGTGTTACGGAGACGAAGAAGCACTCTGGTCAGACATACAGGCAACACGGGGGCGTTTTTCTTAGAAGCTCGGACGGGAAGAGCTCGACCTCAAAGTCGGCTGGCTCAGGAAATGGCTTTTCTTGCGAGTCCGTGGCTTAAGGGTTTAAAGGACTCGCGCTGGGCGTGAGGGATTCTGGGAGTCATGACATAATTTCCTCCGGAAGGGGCGGCCAAGACGACGCCTGGTGTGAGGGATGACGGGAGCTGTAGTCCCGCCCGCCCGCAAAGTGCAGTCCTGAGCGGTTTTCCTCAAGGCTACGCCCGTGTAGGTCATTCTGGGAAATGTAGTCCCACTCAGTTCAAGTTCTCTCGCCTTCGAACCTGATCAAGAGGGTCCTTTGAACTCCCTGCCCCTTTGGAGTAACCCACCGCAATGAATCCCAGTGTAACTACACTGTATTAGTTCAGTGTAGTCATTTTGTAAATGGAACCATACCACGTTACTTAACCTGAGTCTAGCCATTTTGTCCTGACCCAAGTGTGGCCACTTTGCAAAGACTAATTCCTTCTGTAACCGCTGTTTTCTGTAACTGCTGACCCGCTGCGTTTTTTGAAATTGCTAACGTTCTTTGTAAATCCCCGTTTGATTTTTAGAAGTTCCTATTTTTCCATAGGGCCCAACCCCTCCTGCCCTTGTGCCCTGTTTAATCCACAGTATGAAAACTCCCCTCTTTAAACACTCCTTGTCGAGGGAGAATTAGGCTCTCGTGACCCCTTGACTGCTGGCTAATAAAGGCCCACCGAAATTACAGTTGCCTGTGGGTCATTGATCTCAAAGGGGGCTCCACTCGCTGTGTGCGCGTGAATGATGCTCCAGAAAGCCTGTTGTCAAGAGCTCCAGTGGGTGGGGCACAGGGGCAGACTGGCAGCAAGGCTGGCAGTTTGAACCCACCCAGCACAAGGGAGCCCACATCGGCTTTCCTGAAGAAGGTGGCCCAGGAGAGGCGAAGGCGCCCTACAAGGGTCTCTGGAAGTCAAGTCAACACTAGGGCACTGTGTTAGTCTGGGTACCTTGGAGAAACAAATCCACAGCAACTCATATATGAGAGAGTTTTATGTAAAGAAAATGTGCATCACGAAAATATCCCAACCCAATGCTGCCCAAGCCCACAAGTCCAACATTAACTCATTAACCCAACACC